ATATATATATATATATAGACGTCCCTTTTTTCCTTTGTCCTTCTTACAAGAATCAAGGACTATTTAGGGATAAAGAAACTTAAGGGTTCGCATCTTCTACGACTCTCGTTCCTCCGATGGAGAACGTGGAGAGCTCGTCGACGGGACGACGAATTAAATTCTCGTCTGGGAGATTCGTTCATCGGGACGAGGCTGCGGGTCGGAGCCGAGTGAGGCGGAAGTCGCGAAAAACGCTTAGATTTAGGTTCGGCAGTGACCGGGAAGACCGGGCTCGCGCGAGAAACTCGTTTCTCGCCTCTCGCGCGGCTACGTATGTACGTCTGCACGGAGTTTTCTGTGAACGTCGAACACGCGCGGGTTAATAAACAGCCGTCCCACTTGCACGACTGTCCATCCGTAACCCACTGTTTACCAAGACAACGGTACCGCGCCAGGCCGCGCCGGATTAAGGTTTATCCAACGGTTTACCTATCGACAAATTTGATGTCGGAAGGGGGACGGGGGAAGGCGGACTCTGGGAGGAGCAGCAAAAGGGGAACGCGAGAAACGAGCGACGACTCCGCAAAACCCGACCTATTTCCCTCGCGAGACCGTCGGTTTTCAGGTCGCCCTCGGGGCGCGCGCGCGATCGTCACGATCAACTCGCAGCTGAATCATCTCATCTCGATTCCCGAAGTTTCATTTCCGTTCCCTGACGGAGGGTCGATCTTCGGCTCGATCTTCGTTCCCCGACGACATTGAGGAGCGACGTTCGTTTCTCCTGTAATTCCGAGCGTATTCTCTCTTCTTCATACGCCAGCACGATAACGATCAGGCAGAAAAAAAAAGAGAGACGGAGGGGGCTGGCGAAGAAAAGAAAGGAAAAAAAGAAGAGAAAAGAAACGCAAGTTCGCTGGTGCATCTACGAGAAATTCTCAGGTGCGTGAGAAATTTCCCCGGCGGTATGGCAGAGATGTCACGCTCGGCTGAGCTAACACGACATTCCAGATTACGTAGCCTGACATCGTTGCTCCGAAGGGAGCATCGTCCTGAAATCGGCTGGCGTAACGCCGCCGCCGTGGAGCCAAACGCGGCGAATAATCCGGCATCATAATGGGAATATTAATCGACGGGAACATTAAAGCGCACGGGCGACGTCGATTTGCGCGTTCGCTAATCGGTGGAGGACCAATTTTCTCTCGTCTCCTCGTCGCTATCGTTCCGCCGTGTTGATAGCGATTTCGCGACTCGCCATGTTTTGCCGGGCGAGATGATGTCGAGAGGACGAGTCCTCCGGGACGAGCGCTCGTCATCGTGCGTCGCTCAGAGCGACGCGAATCTCCTCACGCGACATTCCGAATTCCGAGCGGCCGACCGGCCGGCGGCCGGCGGCGTCTCGCGCCCGCGAAAACTCGAGGAATATCGTATTCGCCGACGTCCGCGCACACCGGAATGTACCACTTTTCGACACATAACAGTAGTACATGCGCGGCACGAATGTATAGACACTGGACTCTCTCTCTCTCTCTTTCTCTCTCTCTCTCTCTCCCCTTCTCACTCTTTCCCTCATAGAAATACACGCGAGGGACATAACGGTCCTCTCTCCTCGTCTCCTTTGTCCGCCACACTCGCGCGTTACGAATACGTGCACGCGCGTCCGTGTCTCGCGCCGCCTCCGAAATCTGATTTAGTTACGCGCGCGGGATACAAAGAGAGAAAGGAGAAAAGAGTAGAAAAAAAAAAAAAAGAAAAAACGGGGGAACGCGCACGACGGGATGTCGGGTGTCGGATCTATCGCCCATTCGCGAATTCGACACACGCGTGCCCCCGCGTGTCACCCCGTCGTTTGCACGCCGTTTGCACGCCGTTCGCGTGCATGGCCCAGTGGCGAGGCGACTACGAGCCGACCGAGATCATCCGGAATACCAGGCAACGAGGCCATCCTGTAAGGATAAAGCGTGGTCTCTTTCCCGGTTCGGTCGCTCGGGAAGGAGAAGCCGAGACATTCAGGCGCGCTCTCGGTCTCTCGTTCTCCACATTTGCCTCGGTCGTGCGAATCCTCGTCGTTGCCGACGATAATAAAGCGGTACGACAAGCAAAAAGGAGAAGATCGAGTTGCCCTGCAGCGTTTGGGGCGACTTCGACTAATTCAGATTCTGATCGATTTAATCGCCGATTAATTCCACCGGTAGAAGCAAATTTTCAATTACACGGTTATCTTTATCTTTTTTTATTTGCAAATAACTAAAAATATCAACTATTCATATTAAAAGAATAGTTCAAGTTCAAGGTATTGCTTAATAAATTAATTATTGTCAATTATAAATTAATCAAAGTTTAAATCGTTTTAATGTCCATTTATTTCTATTGGTGTAGATTAATTTTAATTTTGGTTTAATTTATTTTTTATCCTTTTTTTCATTTAAAAATTAATAGATATTGATAAAAATAAACATAAAAATAATTTCGACCGTTCAAAAGCTTGAACCTTAATCCGCGATTAATTTAACCAGCAATATTATTTAAAATAAAATTTACACAATTTGTTATACGTATCCGAATTTCAAAAAATAAAGTATTAACAAAAATTCAAGTATTTCACAAATTTATTATCGTTAATTGGAAGTTAGTCATTTAATCGCTTTAAAGTCTCCCATTAAATTCCGTTCGACCGATAATTATCTTGCCAAGGTGTCATTTGTACCGTTTCGTTAATGCGGATAAAATCGTTAATTCCCTATCCTGTTTAACAGGCGGAAAGAGCGATTAGATTAGGGACAATAAATTGCATAGTCAATTTCGCTACGAGCGATTCTGTGGTGGATTAAATTAATCGCCGATCAAGTTAATCGAAGCGTGATCGAGACGTATTTAATTATAGATATAGAAGCATGACAAGCAGGAATGGAAAATAACGACAAAAAAAAAGACAAAATAGGAACGAACAGGAGATCCGATTTGTCACCGGAAGCAGATACAAAAAAATATTGAAGACGATCAATAGTCAGACGTTAATAGATATATTATATTTTACGATCAATCAACTTCAGCTATTTTAAAAATTGAATAACAGAAATATAGCGGTTTGTTAGTAGATTCATCATGAGCAGAACATTAGTTAGATTGATATTATCCGCATTAAGCTTAAAGCGAAGATTTATCTTCGCCTGTACTTATTCACGGATTGTAAAATATTTCAAATTTTATAATGGTATAGTAAACGGCCTAAGACCAACTGGCAAGACACTTAAAACTAATGATCATTAATATTATTCCTTCTTTCTTGTTACGATACTAATACTAACGATGATTGCGAATATTTGTCAATAAATATATATTCATTCTTATTAAATAAAATGAATTAAAATTTAACAAATGAAGATATTCAAGATTTCAACAATTGAAAGCGCATGAATAAAATAAAAAATGTTGAATAGGCTGGTCAGAGCTGACTAGTCATTAGGAATGGTTGCGTGAATATTGGCAATCGGGATAATGGATTTTGCAACGTATATGCACATCTCGAAAGATGACGAAATGGAGAATTGATGATAAAGGTATACTGAAATATACGATTCTCGTAGTTATATATGTAAATAAAATGATTCTTTAGAAGTCCGAAAAGTAAATTTAACAACCAAAGCAAGAAAAATTTATATAAGTTATATTCATATTATTCATAAATAATAAATTAAAAACTGTTTTTATATATATGTAATTTTAAATGTACATACATATAAAGATCCTAAAGAACAATTTAGAATATAACAATAGTAATAGTCATAAAATATTATTTAGTAGGATCATAACTTCTGTTCCAATTACACTATTAAAGACTAACATATTTGCTAGACACTCGCCCACTGATGGATAAAGCAGAATTATTTGTTGTAAAGCAATGATTAAAAAAACATAAAAAAAATATAAATATATTAAAAATTAAAATGTAATAAGTGTATAAAAATCTTATGTAAAATTTCATTTTATATATATATAATTTTTTCAATGTTTTAAGAATATATATATTATGCAACGTTTGCATTTATATCTTTCGAAATTATTGAATGTTGAAATAAAACATTTTACGTCGATTAATTAAAAACGAAATACATTGATTATTTTTTCTTCTTATGCCACTCTACATTCAGAAAATATATAATTATACAATTGTCGAGTGAGTGCTTGCTATCATTGGTATATTCTTTTAAATTTAATTGGAATCTAAAGATTCACTGTAATCACAGGCAACGATTACTGAACGCTCATTCAACTATTGTGTTCTCTGAACGAGCGTATTTGCATTTTTCGATATACACTGAAAGGATAGAGCGCTTTCTAATCAATGATAAAACGTTTTCTAACTAATGACGAGTTCCTTCTCTTCGGTCACAACTGTCGGTGCATCTGCTTTTCGTTGCACGTTGAGTAATATAGGCAACTGTAGCGGCATACAGACATCCGCTCCGCAAGCTATTATATTTAACACGATAGACAATTGTTCGCACGTTTCTCCTTCGGGAAGTTTCACCGATACAGGCGTTGAAAGTCTATCGGTCAAAGATTTCGCTGTCCACGTATTTGCGGGTAGTGACACTTGCCATTTTTGTGGTGCATTTTCATCTAATTTCAAACCATTCGTAAAGATGATATTAAATGAAACGTTTAGTTCTCCGCCGCGTGTATTAAGTGTTACATCGAAAGCAAACACATTGTTAGTGTTTTTATACAAACTATGGGAGGACGTAATTTCCATCTGAAAGATAAAATAAAAGAAGCTTAGTGTAGTATATAATACATTATATAATATTATATATTTCAAATAAAACACATATTTTGATGAAATTCTATCTTACGATATAATTTGTATGATTTATATAATTATATTGATATAATAAAGTAAAAATATATTTTAAAACTAATTCTAATAAAACCAGAAATATACTTACAGTTGAAATCTTCTTGTTTTTCAAATCGATAATCTTAAGAACATGATTATTGGTATCTGCTACGTAAAGAATATTACCGTCTGGACTGACAGCCAGATCACTCGGTTCATTAAACTAAAAAAGTGTTTTAATAATTAGACAGATGCGAAGCGTTTTTAAATTTATCTTTTCAAAAAATGAAACTTACGGTAAATGTACGATCAGGTTTTCCGTGGCCGAATAGTGTCTTGCATTGCCCCGTAATATTTACACTTTTAATCTTATGATTATAAGTGTCAGCCACGTAAAGTAGTTTGTCCGAATGATTCCACGTTATTCCCAATGGATGTTGAAGTTTAGCTGAATGTCCCTTTCCGTCTACATCCCCAAAAGCATGCAAGTTCTACAATGTAAATTAAATCTGAAAATTCTGGTAAGACAAATATTATAGTTGTAATTTATCGCTGCTATTCGAGAGAAGCTGATGCTTGTTAAATTAATATTAAACAAGCTGAATAAACTATGTTGTTCATATACACAAACGGTAAATAAAAAAACAAGTGAAAAATATTTGTTATTGGACGAACCAATGGATTCATATGCCCTCCACAAACAGCAGATACTTGACCGCTATCTAAATGCAACTGTCTGATAGCACTGCTCTCACTATCTGCAAAAAACGCAGCTTTGCGTTCCTGAACAACCGCAATGCCAGAGGGTTGTGCCAGACCCGCAGCATGAGGATAATTGTTGTTGCGATTTTCCTCCCGACCACTTCCGACGATAGCAGCGCATGTGCCTGCTGTATATTTTCTAAAAATACAGAGAGCTTTAATTAAAAAACCAGTCTTCTCAATAAACATTAATTAATTTCTATAAACGGGAGAAAAATTGCATTTGTTTTATATCATTTCTTTATATCCATATAAACTAAAATATTTAACACTTAATAAGAAATTAAATGTTAAATTAAATTAAACGTTCAAAAATCACATTTGAAAATGCATATATAAATGTGTATTAAATTCCATAAATCTTACTTTTCCTTCCACCAAACAGTATCTTCCAAAAATAACGCCCAAATCTGATGAGTACCCGCTATGGCAATTAGCAATACTGGTACAACGATATCTTTATATTCGTGATGATAAATTGCCACATCCCAAGGAGATGATAGGGCTTGATCGGTACTATGTTTACCACCAGAACGATCATTACCTTGTGAACCAGTACCGGCTACGGTAGACACAGTTTTTTCAGTTAAATCTATCTGAAATGACATTAATGTTGATATAAATATAATATTTCAATGTCGTAAAGTATAATAATAAAAAATGGTACTTTTCTAATAGCGTGATTATTATTGTCCGCAACATAAATTATATTATTGAGTACGCAGACTCCCTGAGGTGAATTGAATTTAGCATTCTTAAAATTGCCATCTTTAAAGCCTTGACTGCATCCGCCTATGACGTTCTCCATCTTTCCGTGCTCATTCACAATCACGATTCTATTGTTACCACTATCCGATATGACCAGCTTCGTCCCTTGTTCCGACTGAAGAACCGTTAGTTTACCCGGAAATAACAAACCGTCTTTAGAAGATGGTAAAAGATGGTGCGCTGGTTTCAATGGAAGACTGTGATTCGATATCTGATTTAAGGATCTGAAATGTGCTAACGCTACTTTCGTATATAATAATATTTCATCTTTGTGATCTTCACCCACGAAAACAGCCAGCGGTTGACCTCTAGGTCCTGAAACAGATTTGCAATACAATATCAAGTTTTCACAAATAGCGCAAATATAAATGATTACAAAAAAAAGAATCGCATATTATTTTATACCTAACATAACCAGAGTAGGCCAACACGTTATTCCCATATCATCCCACATTCTTAATGTTACGTCATTTACCACAGGATGCATGATATTATATCTTTGTACAGCAGATAAGATATTCTTCGAATTGCGCTCATTGGTAAACTTCGCGCTGTGAATTCCAATCTAAAAAAAAATATTATTATAACCAATTTTAAATTTTGCTAATGGTCTCTTGAAACAGGATGTCATACTTACTACGACAAGACCATCCTCCATCGAGACTTTCTTCTCAACTTCCTCCAGCTCGGCCAGAACATGCATGCAATTGATACAGCAATAAGTAAAAAAATCCAATAGCACAATTTTTCCCTTGAGATTATGTGCTAGCGACAGTCCCTCTGACACGTTAAACCATTCCAAACCTGTGAAACAAATATTACTAAATACAGAAAACTTACAAGGACAATGATTGTTCACTAGTTTTCTATGACAGATAAATATCTACTTACTTCTAATTAATTATGTTCAAAATAAATATGATAAAGAACAATAATTATTATTTTCCTTCAAATAGATAATTATCAATTCTAATTAGCTATTCCCAAAGTGAATATAAAAGTTCACAATAGCAATGATTAATTAATTGCTAGTTTCCTATAGATAATCTTTAATAGATAGTTATCTATGTCTAATTAGCTATCCTAAAATAGAATGTTAGGAAAATCATGGGAATAATGAGAACTTGTTTCCTGTGATCCAGACAGTCACTTACCTTTTGGAAAATCGAGAGCTTCCGTTCCACTGTTTTCGAACCGCTTGATGTGTTTCAGGATCAACGTTTGCTTTTCCTTCTGTTCTGTCAGATCGTCCAGATGGAGACGCATTTGAATGCAGACCTGCGTTAGCTCCTCTATGATATCCTGCGTATTCATCTTCGCATTCACAAGTCCGCACATCAGCAAGAAGACGATTTATAAGGACGAGCAAGATTCTTTCGGAAAGGATCGGGGAAGGATCGAGGACGTGTAATAAAAGGATCTCGAAACCACACCAATTCCTAAAATAGCCACGTTAAATTCTATAGTACACGTCGAAGCTTGAGCATGTTACGCCTAGACTTACATCTGTCGTAGATCATTACGCCATGTTTTGCCGATCTTGAGGGAAAAGATCGACAGGGAGGGAGAGGATCATCTCGTCCGTGATTACATTGATTGTTTTCCCTGTCATCGTTGTGTCATCAAAGTCCAAGCAACGTGTGAGTCACACGTTGCTCGTCACATTATCAGTTTATTTGCATAATCGTTGTCAGATTATCCACAGAGATCCGTGAGAGTTCATGCGCTTTCGTACCGTGCACATGGGCATGGTTACAAACAGTCGCAAGTCCGGACTCTTCTGACGTGAGAGTCCTGCGTTCTCTTCTTTCGAGGATATGGCAAAGGCAAAACCGGATGACTTGGATGAGTTGGACTGGGTGACGGTACGCGATGAGCTGGACAGTAGTTATGCTCCCGAGACGATATTGCAGAAGGCAAAGCGTAAAACGCAAGAGAATCCGTTCGTACCGATAGGTAAACTAACCTATGCTTCATAAACCAAAACAGAACTTTCAGCTAAATTTTTTTGTCCTACAAGATGAGAATATGAAGATGCAACTTGAGAAAAGGACAGAGAAATAGACAGACGAAATATATTTTTTAGACGTTAAATGTTACATGTATATTTTTATGAAGAAAATTGCGTTTGTCACGTTATTGTCATTAAAGATCTGTTCAAAATAACTTGTTTGGTTTTCTACAATTAAACAGATTTATTTACTTATCAAAGAAGCATTATTTTCGATAAACTTAGATTAATGGGCAATTAATTCATGAAAAAAAGATTTATATTTTGTCAATATGGACAAAATTATTTTTTGACTTGACGTATGAAAAGGAAAATTAAATTAAGGATGAATTATATAAATTTTGTTATAAGCACTCTTGCCAGTTGAATAGATCAATGATTAATTTCCATTTCTACCAGTTGATGAGACTTACTGTTTACTTCTTTTAATCCTAAGAATTAGAAAAAAATAGTAAGTAAATTAAACAAGATTAAAATTAATCTATATTGGTAGAAATAATTACAAGTTGATTTTCATTGATCAACTTTTCTGAAACTTTAGCTAGATTTTATTGTGGATAGAATTTTTTCTTATCTGATACACAAGAAAATTAGATTCATATAATTTAATATGCTTTGTATAATTAGATAAATTAAACATCAATCAAGTTCTATTAAAAATTTCATTCGATTACAATCTTTAGGAAGATGTTATATTTGCATCATATTTGTATTTCCAGGAGCGTTGGCAACTACAGTGGCTCTGAGCGTTGGACTCATTAGTTTTTACAGGGGAAAAAGTAATATGCAACAATACATGATGCGTGCTCGAGTTGGTGCTCAAGCATTTACCATTATTTGCATGGTGGCAGGATTTATCCTGCTGCCCAAGTCGAATTGATATTAATGCAATACTGATTCACGAGTGTTATTGTCTATTGTAATATGTAAGGTATTTGCACTCGTCGAATTGAGTACTATATACGTAATACGAGTCAATGTTTTTTGTTTCATATAATTTAGTAGAGATCATTTCTGTACGTATTGTACAGTATGTAAATATTTTTATATATAAAAATATACTTAATTACACTTATTGATGCAAATCGTAAATGGGTATTTTTATTAAACGAATGTCCTTAATTTTATATTATTGGTATAACGTTTAAGAAAAATATTTCAATAAGTTCAATAAGTCTCTAACCTTTTAAATTACAGGATGGTTGCAGGATTTTTGAAAAAGCAAGCAATTAATTAATTATATAGTTATATATTATTATTACCATTGCATTAAATACTATGTACCATGTATATAAATATATATGTGTATCATTACAACTGTACTAAATATTGCAATATTCCTATATATATTTTTTTATAACTCAGAAATACACTATAACAGAACTTTCCTTGTACTTTTAGCAATATGTAAGACTTCGCACTATAAAAATAAAAAAGAAAAAAAATCGTTTAATTAGAATCTTTTGTACTGTATAAACCTTAGCCAACAAACTTTCTACAGATATCGAGTTATCAATCGATATATACTACATGTCGACCAAATTAAAATCTTCCCATGCAAGTCTCTTCGGTTAATACAATGTGTATTAACTGAGAAACTATATTTAATTTTCCTTCCAGCTTAATTAATAATTATGTATCAATCTCAGATCAAAATTGGAAAGTTTTAGTTGTGCCATGATAATTCGGCATTTAGAATATTTTAATTCTTCGAAAAGAATCGTAAAAATCGTTATGCCTTTTTATTAGCGGAAGTTAAATGAGGCTTTAAAGAAATACCACTTTGTTTAAATACACCGCTGATACTCAGCGAACGTGAACGTAGGCTTGTTAGACTATTCGTGGAACTGCAACTGCTTAGACTAGTACTAGGTGTGAGATCAAAGATCGTTTGTACAGTAGGTCTTGCCGATGTGTAATCCGATGGAATTGATTCTGCAATAGAAGAAATATTAACGGACAATTTATTATGGATCCTAGATTTTAAAGCTTATCAAATTTTACAATTTGAAATCTGCATGACTTGTATATTTACCTATTAAAGGTGTTTCGTCATATAAGGAGCCCTGTCTTTTATTACTGATAAAGGAATTTCTCATGTTTTCAATGTTGGATACCCTTTGAATAACTTCCGCCGCATGTTTCCATCTCGAGTGATCGTTTATGTGCGCTGATAAGAGCTTCAACCACTTTTGAACTTCCTCCTTCGATTCAAATTTAATCGGTAGCAATGTTTCCACACTGTTGCCAGAATTGTTTATTAAAAGTTCTTTAGTAGAAGTCCTGGATGGTTGAATGGATGTTCTCTGCAGATAAAAAAATTATTTAAATAATAAAACACCATTATGTAAGGTATACACATACACGCACGCGCGCGCGCGCGCACATACACACACAAAGATGCCAACTAACTTTGTTAATAGGTATTATGTGTTCTGGATTTTGACCTTCTTCCGCGTGTTTTTTCGATTCCCATGTTTTTATACAAAATCCTTGTAGACGCGCCCAATAATTCTGGCCGTCTATTTTCACGTTGCCAATACATATTTCTTTAGTGATGCATTCTGGCTGTATCGCCAATCGACAACAAAAATGACCGAAAAGTGGCAGAGAATGATGTTTATTTTCTGAAAAAAGAAGCACAATGTAAGTTAGTTATTCCGCGGCATGCCAAATTTTTCACGTAACTTACCAATGCTATTAATAACGAGGTCGTGCGTATGAGTATTGTCGTTTGTGTCGTCTAAAGACAGTTTTGCGCGAGCTACTAAATCAAAGTGTGGCCCACTGAAAACAGAGAAAAAAACATAATATAAAAATGAAAATTGATTTAATCTACACGTTTATGAAAGAAAATATCGACTCACGATTTAGCGGAGCCAAATTCATCACGAAGCGAAGCGGCGAGCTTCTTGCCAACAGTTTTCGAGATTGACGAGTGAATCGTCTTTTTGATTCTTCTCGGTGTGCTGGCAATACTCAAATCTTCTTGCAAAACATGACTATAGATTTCCAAGATTAATTCGAATTCGGATGGCACATTGTTACTGAAAAAAAAATAAATATATAAATAAAAATTTATTATTGCAAGATAAACTTCAACAATATAAACACTTCAACTTGTGCTTACTTCAAAATAATAATTTCGAGAAACTTACAATATCAAGACATCGGGAAAACTGAGATCCGTATGAGCCCTATCGATGGGATATAACAAGGAGGTATCATGGATTTCCGTGCCCAATCGTGCCAGGCAGAAGACGGCGAATCGACGATGATCACCGCGATTCTTGAAGTGATCGGAATCTCTCCACATCAGTGGTATTCTGAGATCCGAGATTGACAACTTGCCCGTACTTCCAGAAGTGCTGAAAATACATTATTGCAAATTATCATAAGACAGATGATCCTGTCGTGATCTCTATAAAAAAATGCGTGAACGAACCACGACTGTTTGATGGATTCGCGGCGGCGATTCTGCAATTCCGCCATGTAGACCGACATTCTTTCATTGGATGTGAGTAACGCCTTGGCGGCTTCCAAGCTTTGGGCGCGATGCTTCGCGGCCGCCAGAAGTCTCGCCGAGCCTTCCCTCATCTTAATTTCCACCTCGATTTTCTGCTCGAGGTCATGTTCCTGCAACACACGCATAATCCATGGTGTTTTAGCAACCAATTCGCGCATCGTCGGCCCAGCCGCGAAAATCCTCGTCGAAGTACCCGTTGAATTTTAAACAGTATTCAAAGATCCGCCCGCATACGGTTGCAGGAAGCGTAATCCCGCACCGGTGTCTGGCTGAATATACAGACGTAAACGAAAAAAAGAAAGGAAAAAGAAGGAGCAACCAATAGTTACGATCGGAGAAAAATCAGAGCGTCAGCGATAAAACGACTGGCTTGCCAGCACGTGGGCCCCATCACGCGTTTGCGGCGTCGGGTTACACACCTAACGAAACGTCTTACACATTTTGCGAACGAATCGTTTTACTCATTTTACAAGTCTTCCTGAGATATCGGGTCTGCCGTAGACCGACTTACAAAACGAACAATATACGAAAACTCCGCGCGATTCCGGGATCAGCTACAAAATTTATAACACTATCGACTATCGAATGCGCATCCAAATTTAAAATCGACATTTAAATATCCAAAATATATAAAATTAAAATATATAGATCTACAAATGTAAAATATATCGGTCTAAAATATATAAACGGTAACCTGAGAGAATGTGGCCTTCTCGTTCGTCCGTTTTTGAGATTTCGACATGTAAAAAACGCTTCGCAGCTTCGTCGCGTCTATGGCGTGGCCAATCGCAACCCGGTGAATGGGAATTCTACCTCGAAGCGAGAAACAAACTTTGCGAAAGCGTAAATAAATCGGCGCGGCTCTCGCGACGCTGGTAGCAGAACGCAGAATCGGACTGAAATAACGACTCTTCGGGGAAGTGGGCGAATGCACGAGGGGGTGACGTTCACCTCGACAAATTGGCTCGCATATTGCCTCTCCTTCCTACCCTTCGAGAAACCACGCTAACATCATGGGATATCGATCCGTGGCCACTTTTATAGTCGGCTTACACGAGATCCCATTCGTTCCCACGAAACGCATTCGGAAGGACTGTGCGTCTGTCGGAGAATTAATTTCTTTCATCTCTTTTCTCTCTCATGTATTAAATATTAAGGCTCATTTATGTATATTAATGTGTATATATATACATCTCTCTCTTTCTCTCTCTCTCTCTCTTACATAAGGCATATCTCGCGCATTACGTAAAAATACGTTAAAATCTCGAATCTTCCTCTCGAGGATTTCTCTCTCCTTTTCTCGTCGCCTTAGCACACGCCCGTTAATTTTCCGCGATACGCCCGAATGAGACGTATGATCCGAAAATAACGCACGCATCAGTAAAATCAATAATGAAGAGATGATTCATCTGCGCGCATCGAGCGATTTCGTATTCCACCGGTGTCACGGTGACACATCCTTAGACCGAGAGAGAGAGAGATCTATCAGGGAATACGTCCACGTATACGCCGCCGTCGGTCTCGGCGGACGGGAATTTTCGCAACGGCGCAAGGGTAACCGCGGCCACATTTAATCCCTGACCTCCGTCGCCAGTGCTGTAACGAGTCTTGATGAAACTCGTTGACGCGCGCCGTGCGACAAACGAGTTCACGTAAGCACGATCTGCACACAACTCGCGCGCGTGTATCGCGCGCCTCGACTTTTCTGGACTTCCCGGAGTTTTTTTTTTTTTCCCCTCGGGACGCGCGCGATACACCTTGCGCTCCGTCGCACGAGGAAGCCCGCGCCTCGTCAGCGCGAGGTATTCCTCTCGAGCTGTCTGTACATAACGCGGAAGAGGCGGGACTGAGAGAGACGGAGGCGAGTTGTCCCGACCGGGGACACAGGCCGTTTCGGTCTCCCTCAGTCCCGGTTCTTCCGTTGTCCCCCGTTGTTCCTAAGTGTTTCCCTCTCAATCGCCGCTTTCTCCCGCATCGTCGGCACTTTCCCGACGGCTTGTCTGCCGAAAATAGTCGCCAGAAATCCAATACCCCCGCGCGCAGATGTGCCTGTAATGGTCACCGCGCGACGATGTCAGGAGGCTCGACGTTGCATCTTCCTTTCACGCAAATCTCCCGAGGACACGGCCGCTCCGACGTAAAAATCGATCGATATTCAATCGCGGTGTCGAAATGAAAACAAGCGACCTACGAGATTTATGCGTAACATAAATAATGTAACAAATGACAAATTTTCTTCGAGTTGTGATCGCTTTGTGAAGAGCATAAGATTATTTCTTTATTCGGAGGATTCGCGAAGACGACTTAGGATTGAGCCGAAACATAAAAATTTCCATTTCAATGTACTATTAATAAAAATAAATAATGTTTAATTTCAACGCGCAGTAATTTTCGAGCCTGACTCTGGCCAGCTTTTTAGTTCTGAGTTTGTTTTTAGTACCGAGAATTCTTTGTGTTTTTCATAATAATAAATATTCGATACGTCACAGGGTCAACAGGGTTTTCGTCGAAACTTTGTCGATCCGTCGAATCACACTTGAGACGCTAATCTCGATTGAGATTTCAAATCCGTTTGACATTGCCATCCGTACGTCCGACCGACGTGATATCCAAACGCGACGTCTAAAAATACGAACAACGAGCTGAACGCGAGGAAACGTCGACGGCCACTCGCATAAAATAATTCAAGTCCCCTTCGTACAAATTTGATGTGAATTAAATCTTCATGGGTGATCTGGACTAAGTACCAGTCAACTTAATCGGCGATCAATTCAACCGACAAAATTGCCATACAATTCGCTCCCCCTAATTTCTAATCTTTCTCGCCGTGTGTTTTTTGCTCTCCAGTAATAAAAAATTAATAAGCAATTAATAAAAATTAATCGACGATTTGATCATCAATTATGTTAATCAAAGTTTGCACGGAATCACCCTTAATGACCGCATGACGAATAATTAATGTTAGGAAACGACAGATGCGTTTCATTACATTTTCAGAGATGTTTCTTATTAATCTCGTTAATACAGGAAATAAAGCGATCGGAAAAGCGATCAACGATCTATCTTCAGAGTCATCGAATGCATCATCGTGGTCCTACCTTCGAGTTTCGTGCGATCTGTCGAACGTAATAAAGATCCAAATCTTGGAAAACGTCGTTCTTCCCCGATAACGTCAGAGGCCTCGATCGCACCCGGCTGTCCTCGGCGTTTACGACGTTGCACTCGTCGTTGAGTCGGTCCTTCGATTTATTCGAATTTCGCGAATTCAATATCGCCAAATGCGGAAAGCAGGAATTCATCTTTCTTCTTGTTTTTTTTTTTTCGTTTCGCTGAACTAAAGTGTCACCGACCAAACGCAACCGAAGTTACGTCAAATTTAATAATTTGCGAGCGAGATCGATACCGAAGGTCGATCGATACCGAAGGTACCGAATCGTCGCAGATTAGCGCGATCATGGATCATCCAGGTGCATCCGGCTTTCTCAGAAATTCATAGTGCACGGCCACACGTGTCAGACAACAAACAACTCTGCGCGGAACGAGTCTCCTGATTGGCTCTGCGTGGTTTATTCCTCGAAGCCTTGACCTGAGAGATTTTAAAGAAATACAAGAGGAGAGACGGTTGTTCTTTATCTCTGTTTCCTTTGAGAAATCTGGTCAAGATAGACGTGACTTTTCTCTTTTCCACAACTTTCGTCCATCCACTTCTATTGCTCGACACACAAGTAAGTTCTGATAAATTGTGACCTTTAAAATTTAAGCGAAGCAACGAAAAATATTGTTGTCACGTTACCCCAAGGGTCTTTTGTCGGCTCGACCTCTCCGTTTTTCAAATGGGAATGATGTGTGTCGACAGCGGTCACGTATCACGTCGTCGTCATCATCGTTTAGATCCGGTCGTCCTACGTTTTTCCGTTAGCTACAAAATAAATCGTGACGGCATCGCGCCTCCGTTCTTGCTTCTCAAGTCGCTCGCCTTGTCGACTGCTCCACCATCGAATTTATCCTTTCCCGTTTCCGGTGGTGTCTACGCCCAACTGTCGTGATTCACCATCAAATAGAGAGAAAACTATTCTCCTCTTCCTCCTTCCTTGCCGTACGATATATTTCACAGATCGCCGCAGATTTTCCAAATAAGACATCCACCGGCGCCACGTGGGGTGAATACAGTTCAAGATCGTCGTGCGAGGTAATTAACGACAATTATCGGTTCTGAGACCCGAGACCCGACTTTGCGGCGCGACTAGATCGGACTAGAAACGGAGGGAGCGTGCACGCATAATTAGTCGAACGAAAATAATCCGCGTAGGTGCGAGAAACCGTTCCCGCGCCGCTATGCACGTCGCGAGGTGCAAAAGAGCGAAGAGGAAAAAATAGGAAGCGAAAGGCACCGTCCTCGGGAGCACCCGACTAATACTGAATGACGCTCGACCATTCGAGCGCCGTGTAAGCATCAACACAGAACGCACCAGCGCTACGCACCAACGCACCATGCGGCAAATCTGCGGGCCGACGGGGGAGATCGGCAAGGGGAGGTAGGACCACCGGCGCTACCGACAATGGATTGAATGGGAGAGCGGGGCGAGAGGGAAGAAGGGGACGGGAGAAAGGGAGGTGGGGAGGATCGCCCACGCCGGAGCATCCGCTGACTTTTACGTTTTGTCGCGCGCGACAAGAGCCATTATCGCGCAATTATCTGCGAAATAGCAACCGCCGCTTACAGATGCGTTATAAATATATCAAACGCGCTCGTGCCTCCGTTTCATCAGCGTCATCTCGCTTTCCATCGGATCTCGTTATGCATGATGGATCTCGTCGCATGATTATTCGCTGTTTCGACACAATGCGACTGCGTATTTTAATTATAGCGCTGAATTTCATATCTGGAAATTAGAATAGTTTTATTTCGAGTGCACTGACTTCATTGGATTTTTAATTACGTTCGTACTCACTTCGGTGAATGTGACAAAAATTTGATATTTTTAAAATTTTCAGGATTCAACAAAATGAACACATGTTAAATCGCAGGATCACATTTCTCTTTTATCATAATTTATCAAAAATTTCAAAATATAGAATTGTCTGGGTCGACTATGACTTGAGTGAGTCCACAAAGGTTCACAAAACCCTGTGCAACAAGTGCATCCATGCTGTGTAACTATTTACCAAAATTTTAAACTTATACATAGAGACATTGAAGATTTTATATCTATTACTATCTAAAAAGAATTAGATAAGAAATAAGAAATATTATTTATGTTAAATACTTCTATTTAATTGAAATATGATTTCTAATAATCAAGAAAATCTTATATTTTTCTAACATTTTTTTTCTAATTAAATATAAAATTTTTAATATTTTTCTCACAAGAGACGAGTAGATAACAGCTTTCCTGCTTTCACAAATAAAAATCCTTGTTATTTCACATCTAAAAAATGTAAAAAATTTTTTTCCTCCAAAAAAAATTTTTGCGTCAGAGAAAATGCGAAACAGAGAAAATGCAGAGTAATTACATTTTCTTCTCTTTCCAAATGAAAACTCTCAAATATTTATACGGAGCGAGATTAATTTTACAAAGTATAATTTTGCAGCGTGATCTTTTTTTCAAAAGAGATGAGGCGCACGTTTCATAAATCCATCCGGCATAACCTTACATCCGATTACATCACACATCAGCCGCGTTTTTCTGCAGCGAGTCTCGCGAGACGAATTTATGTTGTCACCTGTCGAGCATCAGACTACCGAGTTAGGAGAATCTCGGCGAGGCGGAATGCAAAGTGGCAGAGATTTTAAACAAGTGTCAACGGACCGCCGGCGACGCCGTTGTCTAAATCGCGGACGAGCTGACGATTTCGAACTCACCACGTGATTCCTTGCGTGTCTGAGGCTCTCCCGTCTGCGTACCCTCGTTTGATAGTCATTCAGGCAGCACAAATAATTATTCTCCTTGTAGCAAACGTCGTTCAACGATCTGCGCGATGTTTGAACGCTCTTCCTCCGCGGCGCCATTTTGTCATTCGAATTTCTTCGCGGCGCCGCCGTACCGGTGAATCGCCGGCGGGTCCTCATGGACCGAAATTCGCAAACAGCGAGATCTTTCGTCCAAAACACAAAATGACGGAGGAATCGCAATTACGCAAACGCGACTCACGCATCCGACGCCTCCGCGTACTTTCACACGTTACGAAATATTTCAATTAATATTCGAATCACATTGCGTTGGAAATCAACTCGAAGGGAATGATAAAATACGAGTTACCTACACATATACATACGTGCTTCACATATGTATTCCATTTCTGTCAATGAAATTAATTTCAATCTTGATTTAATTTACATTATTCTTTCTTTAATTTTAGGAATTAAAAATAAATAGTACATTAAATCGAAATTAAAATAATAATAATTATTATTATTATTAGATATTATTTGTAGATAATGGATATTATACATGATGAATGAATGTTTAGAGACAATCTTAATTGTTCAGAGAGATTTAAATAAAATTCCAATCAACTTAATCGGCAATTTACTTATCAAATACTTATCCATATTATTTTGTTAACATGATTTAACAATAAATTGTATAAAAATTAAACAATAATCAATTTTAAATCAATATTAAAAATAATACATTGATAAAAGTGGACATTTGTCAATTGAATTAATTGTTGATTCGATTGGTCGAAACTTATCGGAACTTTTGAAATAGCTTGAATCAAATTTTGATCAACTTAATCGATGACTATTTCATACCTATAATGTTTTGTTTATATGAATAGATTTTTTCATTAACACATGAAACAAACGATTAAGACTAGAAATAATAAATTATGTAATTAAAATTCTTACAAGTTATTATGTCATTTAAACGAATTGCCGATTACTTTAATCGAAGGTCGGTCAACTCCTTTTATCACACTTCAAAGAAAATAAATTTGCTCAAGAGAATAAAATTCTTAAAAACGTGTATTTATATAAATACAATATGTTGTATTTTCGTTATGTCAATTTACTAATTTGCCAGACTGGCGTTATCTGAAAACGCCAAGCGAAATTGTTCAGAACACGCGTACAAAACAATGCTGCTAAAACTGAGTTAGGCAGTTTCGATAAATTGATAGTATATTTCATAAGCAAGATAGAATAGCTACAGAATATCATACACAATAATGGAAAATGTTAAATTCAGCCATAAATGTAAATACGAAAGCACTAAGGAACCGCTTATTTTTTCTCTTTGTCTTTCTCCTTCTCTTTCTCTTTATCTTTATTCTGTTGTAACGATCCAACGGCTTGGCGTACAGCTTCGGAATGCGGATCCACGCCCGGCAGGTTTTCCAGAACTGATTGCAAAAAAGCAGGATCGGACATAACGGCTGCATAATCTTCTTCTACATCCATTGCTTCTTCCTTTTGCGATTCTAATTCCTCTATGGAAACAATACAGATAATGAACGATCAAGCAATAACATGGATTTGTTCATAAAATATTTATGCATTTATATATATAATTATACATTACATAAGATGTTCTTGTACGCAATTCTCTGTTAAAAGAAACAATTTTTTCCTCTGAAAATTTCAACCGATAATAGTTCTTAAAGCTAACAAATAAGTTTTTCTATCCCTCTAAAAATTTCATAACAATTATACATATCTAAACGTTATTTTAAATAAAACTTAATTTAAAAGTTTTTCAACTGATATCTTTTATCTTTTAAAACATTATCTTGTGTCTACTATTATTGTGTCTACTACTTATGTATTATCAAATTTCAGATATTGCTTTAAGGATATCAGAAAAACTATTATGGAAAACTACCTTTCATTATTTAAAATTTAAATATCATAGTAGTAATAAAATCTTTAAAAAAAAATAATAAAACAATACAAGATATCAATCATCGCTGATTCTGTATAGTGTAAAGCACTCAAAAATGTTTGCTTTAAAAAAAAATATTCTGTCTAAAAATTATCAGTTAAATGTAATTTTATTATAGAAAAATATTGTTCTTTTTGACACAGAGAATCATGCAAATCTGAAATACTATGTATATGTGACTATTAATATATTAAACGGAATGACGCATCGTTCTATGCAAGAGCGACTGATTTATAATCAGTATATCCCGGCTCCAGACTCACATACATGCATCAATTTATAAGAAATTGAGTGGAGAAATTGGTGGTTACAAATGAAGAAATGAAATGTCACCCGTTTCATAATACTCATAAACTGATACATGTTAATATCTCAAGATACTTATATATTAAGCTATCTAAATCGAGGACTTACGCTGATCTTGCATGGACATCTGCATGGCAAAGGCAATTTGTTCTTCTTCTGTCATATTAGTGAAATCTGGTACATTGCCTCTGCACGGAGCATTATTATCACTAGCGGCAGTCGAGTCATCGGTTCCTTCAAGAGACATGGCAAGGGCACGTTTTAACATAGCTTCCTCATTAGGAGCTTCTTTTATAGTCTCTGGCTGTTTATTCGCAGCAGTCTCATTTGCTTGCGCGCGACGAGCTTCGTCTTCCTGACGTTGCCGTTGTTCCTCCATAGAAACTCGCAGAGCCTAATAAAAATAATACAACAAAATATACAAAATCACTATTCATCTTACAAGAAATTCTTAGTAAGATATATCAAGTACTGACCAATGCGAGTTCGGGATCCTCGTTTGGATCGACGCCAAACTCAAACGCAGCACCACCCATACCTGCTGCACCCATACCATCTTCACCCTGAATTATAGGCGATGAGATCAAAGCATCAGACAAATGCGGACCTGGTGGAACGGTGACGAGATGACTTCCAGTGCCATCCTTGCCGTTCAATGCGTTAACGAAGGCAGTCAATACTTCGTTGTTGATGCTCTCTTCGCCAAAACTTATGACATCAACATTCACTTTCTCCTTTTTCAATCGCTTGGCTAGCTTGACTAATTCCTTCTCGTCAATGTCTATTGGACTTCCGATGAAGGCGACAATACGCATTTTGTGATTCTTGCCTTGTCGATGTTTCAATGCTAACTATAAGTTTCATAACTCTTAGCATACAACTGATAGACATTTATAAAACTCGATTAGATAACGATATGTACTTACATGGGCGATTCTAATGCCTGTAATGAGAGCCAGCTTCCCGTTTGGCTGGACTTGATGAAGCTTGGACAGTATTCTGCCAACATCGCTTGTGAGCGTTGCCAATACTTCAACACTACAACAGATTTATGCTTATATTTAAGAAAAAATTTATATATAAATTTTTGTTTCACATACTTGGCGAGAGTTATAAGGCCAACGTTATTCTCGGGATTCGAGCGTGTCTTCGAGTGGCACACCAAGTTGACGGCATCTTGTTGCGCCTGCAGTCGGGTAGGTACGAAATCCCCATTTCTCATATAGTCGCTGTTATCGACGCTGTAAAACATAAAAAAATTTCGAAATCACGAAATTTCGAGTTCGAAATTTTAGTTCGACCACGACGATCGTTTATAGGACAAGCTTTAGAAGACCTGCGTCCGATTGTGTCAACGTCATTGTCACTATGTTAACCTCAAAACCGCGAACGCAATCAATCATGCGCGCGTATGAAATTAAGCAAAGAAATTCTTCGCTTACAAGGCGAACGGATCTCGCGAGTAACTTTAGCAGAGAATAATTTAAAACAAATCGCTAATTTTTGTAAAAACTCGCAAGACTTACCATATCATCGTACTTTCCAGCACCATGTTGGATGGATCAACTGGCTTGTCGGACGCGAGGCGGCGCAAAATAGCGCGATTAGCGTGATTTATCAATCCAATTTCCATCAACTCACGTTTCTTATTGCGCACGTGCGTATTCGCCATTTAAAGATCATGTGCACTCTCAGGGTAACTTTGAATAAATTCCGATTAATTTAATGGATAATTAATTCACATATAATTCATTGTTCATAAATTTATTTTTTTTAAACAACGAAGAATTTCGTATTATTCTATTTCTTATCTCGTGATCTTTGCTTATATTTACTTGTTGCTTTTGTGTCTATTTATTTATTTATTGATATCAATTTCATAATTTTCAACTGATATAAACTTGAATTATCTTAATATTATAATTATTTTTAGAATTAAATAAACATATTTATTACTTTTAACATACATTTTTTTTACTTATCTCGGTTTTATTAATTTTATATGCTGTATTGTAAGACACTTAAATTTTTATATATTTTGTTAATTATTTTCTTTAAGTTAAACAAAATAGTAGATATTCCATCTATCTTTTTATTTATATCCATTTCTCTGACTGTAAATTATCTTTAATCTTGATTTAATTTATTTATTATTTTTTTCTTATTTTTAAGATAAAAATCAATTAAATCAAGATTAAAATTAATCTATATAGAAATATATATATTAATCATTTATATAGTTCCAAATTGTCGATATAAATTTCCTGAATAAAAAAATTTTGTTATCTCGTTATAGAATCTTTTACAACATATCTCTCAGGTTCTTTATATAAAAAACAGTTTAATAATAAATATTTTATTATATAAAAATATCCTCCGTTTTTGCCATTCTTCGGTTGACAGAATCGGAAGTAAAAAAGCAACAATCATCTCGTAATGCCACTTAAAATACGGTTATGTCGCGACATTTGAAAAAGTATAAGTAGTCGAGAGAGATGGCGAGGGTGGTGGCGTGCGTTCGTCGTTCAAAGCGAGAGTCGAATATCTCGGTGCTTCGCCCATGAGGACGGCCTGCTCGTACGTCGGCGGCAGATCTTCTCGCGCGTTCGGCATCGCGATCAGCTTCAATGCTTGTCTCCTCTCATCCAGAATCCGCAATATAACGACGACCGGTCCCACCAGCAGCATGATCGCTCCGATCGCCACGAGAGCGACGGCCGTCGTCGCGCCGTCCACGCTGACTCGCGAGAATCTAATGTTGTTTTTGCCTCTCCAGACATCCGTGAATTGATCATCATCATCGATCTCCTCGCGACTGGATGACGTCTCTATTTTATCTTGCGTCGCATTTTCCGCGAAATCGAGATCCTCCTCCCGCCCCTTATTCTTCTCCTCCCTCGAATGATCCGAGATCGAAGCGATCGTATCGTTCCTCAAGATGTTCTCGAGGATATCCTCCCTGTTCCTCGCTATCCTCGAAATCTTGCTGGATGCATTTTTACTCCCAAGGTGAGCATCATCGATGCGCCGATCTTTTTCCGTTAAATAGTTCTCGAGTCGCGTTCCTCCATCCGTCGTCAAATATCCGAATGGATACGAAGAAAAGAGTTGGTTCTTTTCCGAAATGATTTCGGATACATCTTTTAATTGCTCGCTTCTAATTATATCTAATCCAGAAATATTCTTGTCGTCACGCGACGATTCTGGCTCTACCCGAATTATTACCTTCGCATCCCCGTCGATCGATTGTGGCTGGGTGGATATCACACCGGGATCGTATTCGCTTCCGTCGCGTCTCATAGACGACACAGTAGATTCAACGTCCAAACCAGCCGGTGAATTTGCCTGT